GGAGAGAGATAATACGGAGCGTCGTTAAAAGTGAAATTTACGAAAACACCTCGCCTCCTTCCTCTCTTCGCGTTGCGTCACCTACCCGATTGTTTTGTGGGCCCTCTTTCCGGCGCGGGGGCAACGACGCAGGCAGGCGTGCGTGCCGCCAAGCCCCCGCGGAAAGCAGGCGGACTTGCGGGAAATTCGCTCAAGCCAGAAGCAGTCCCGGTTCGGCTTTCGTCTCTTTTGCAAATCTGTTCTATTTTTCCACAGATACCAAATTAGAGAATGCTATACTAACCCTATTACTGACCTGAGTAAACCGGTTTCTGTAAATAGTAAGTAACATAAGATATTTTTTCCAACATATTTTTCCGTCCTTTCCTTCGAATAGACGATCTTAAAAATGTTTGAAGGCAATATCTCAAATATCGATTCCAATTTTGGGAACAGGTTTTTTTAAAAAAATTAACTAACTTTGTAAAGTATAACCAATCTTATTCCATCTCCTTCCCATCTTTTATTTTTAGATATATTTTCACTTCAAAGGTTTTCTGTTAACATTCCAACCTTGCTCTAAGAATCTTCCGGGTTCCAATCCGGAAAGAATTAGCGGAGTATATCGCCACGAAGCCTCTTTTATCCTACACACTCGATTTTTTGATCTCAAAAACGACGTTTTAGCTGCTTTAATGAGTTAAATCCTGGTAACTCTCTTTTTCCCAGTAAAATTGGCCGAAGCTTTATTTTAAACCCATGTTTTTCGTAACTTTCGGCAAACTTAAACAAGTAAACATGGTTTTGACTTACGGGTGGTATGGCCCATGACATACACGCCTGAAAAAGTCCCACGCCAAGATAGTCGAGAGATAAGTCGGCAAATCAGCTTCGACCACCGGCGTCAGCCTCCCGGACAAATCCAAATCATGCAAACAATGACTCTGCCGCGGAAGCCCTATACTTGAAAATTTAAAAAAAGGTGGGTAAAATAGGCAGGCGAGGCGAGGTGCATTTTTTGACTCCAACGCCGTAACAAGCATCGAAATAAGATTTATGAATCATGACTTATCCCAATTACTTAGTAAGTTATTTTATATAAAAATAAATTATTGGATATAAAATAAAATGTCAATATTTTTTATATATTTTGAAGGGGAATAAATATTCTCGCTGCGTCATTTTCGTACAGACTACGTAAATCAATGAAGGGTTAATGGTCGGCAATTTTACAACTCCTAGAGGTTTGCTTGCAATTTGGAGCGTGTTTTTCTCTTTCATTTTTCTTTGTTTTCTAAAAGTAGATTTTCTAGAAAATAGTTACCTGTAAGAAAATTTCAGTATGGCAAACCAATTTGCACGTGACTCTTTCATGGGCGTATCGGCCAAACAAAGATATAAATAATATGGAACATTCAAACGAGTTTTAAAAACAAAGGGAATACTTTTCTGATGAGTATGATCTTAGGATATGATTTACGCTAACGCTTACGCGACGTAATGTAATCTACACAATTTCCAGAGGAAGATAGGAAATGAATATTTCTTTCCAATGTGAATTTTTTTGAAAATCTAAGAAAGTATATGCTTCATCAACATTTTTAATATCTTATTTCTTTCTTTTTCCCGAGGGATGACTTTTGCCCGATTGACTGAATCACACGGTCATTCATGCATTGGTGTTTCTTATTTGCACAATCTCAGGCTGTCGACTTCTTTGTAAAGGAATATTAATAGTGGCGTTCAAATCTGCCTTGTTCCTATTTTCTTTTCCAGAGCACATTGCATAATTGTGTTGGTTTTGCAAATCTTTCGTCTCCTGTACTCTTTGAATAGTTCGATTTGAATATTTTTCTACAGCTTGGACTTCCCATTAATTCGTGGTTTTGTCGCCCATGCGTTTCTCCTATCTCTATGTTCTTATTCGTAATCATCTCTATTTATTCCAGCCCTACTAATATTTGTAAGTTCTTATCATATACCTTTTTTCTTGTATTCTTTTCCATACTTTTCGGGATCTTCTTCTTTGTTGTATTTAATTTTGTCGTTCACGTTGTTACATTCGCCATTGTTGTTTAACCACTCCCGTGCTCAATATTTCCGATGACGTGGAAAATTTCTTATAGAATTCTTCCATTGTGTTGTTATTTTTCCACTTCCTTCGCTTTTCTTGATACATTTTTCTTTTATCTTATCTTTGTCTGGCTGAATAGCCTGTAGGCTTTTCTGATTTTCGTCCGGTCATTTGCTTTCTTTGGCAGAGAAACATAATAGTTTGAAAAGAATACAAATATTAGGACTCCGTTGGTACATAAAACAACAATAATAAATAATAATAATAATAATAAATAATAATAATAATAATAATAATAATGAATAATAATGTGGATAATAATATGGATGCATTTAAGTGCAAAACCAAAGTCATGTATACCTATAGGTCGTGCTTATATTGTATATATAATCATCGAATCTTCTTTCGTGATCTCTGAGTGTCCAAGATTATGTGAAACCTTTTCTTTATATTTCACGGAGAAAATCTTGATTTTCTCTGCGGGTTGATTCACATCTGTCCATTGTGAAACTATTAAACGGTTGTAGCTCCCGAATGCATTGAGGCGATCGTTCTTTCCACGCCACCGAAGCCGCGAAGGACTAGGGCAGGGACCTAGGAAATGAACGATGCCTGGAACGATAAAGGGCCGGTGGGGGGGGGCTCCGGGATTTCAACCTCCGATATGGCACTAGGACAGTGGTTTCGCAATAGACAACGTTGGGAGAATGCTCACACCAAGGTTCACTTGGATCGGCTCCTTACTCGGTGCCCCTTCTCCCTTTACAACCTTTCAACTGCTCACGTCCACGTATCTATTGCGTCTGTTCATTCACGAGGACCACCTCCATTCTTAATAGTTGGGAGCTGATTTGAATTGCGAGCTGAGGAATGCGCTCGGTTGTTCTTGGAGCTGTCTCCCTCCCCCGCCTAATCCTGCAACTACTAGCTGTCCCAAATTATATAACGCGCCAAGTATCCATAGACACAAAAATGAAAACATCATAAGAAAATAAGGAATAACCAAATAAGCAATAAGTGAATACAATCATGTAGAATTTTTTTATCTTTACAGTATGCCTTTTATTATCGGGAGTAAACTCTAAGGGCCTGCCCGCCGGCCGCTTTCAAATCTTCTTTTGAATTGATATCACGAGTTCGAACCAGATACTTCAGTAATAGTTTACTAACGACGAAAATTGAGTGACAGCTGTGAATGAAGAACGCTCGAAATTATTTTTTCTCGTCACATTCTTATAGAGACGTTATATTTTTTCCAAGCTTTAAACTGTGTATTGTTTTTGGCCTTTACTACGACAAAAGCTATACGTCCACCAAAAGTCAGAAACCAAAATTAAATTGAAATACGCTGTACATGTTACACATTGTGAGTAAATCTACATTGAAGCAAACATGTTACACATTGATTCATGTCATTCTCAGAAAGAAATACATTCTCTATCAGAATGAAGTGATATTGACCTCAGTATAATGTTGTCAAAAGCACAGATATGCAAATTTCTCGACTGTGCTGCGTAGGTCAAATTGGCAAAACACGTCAATATGCCGAATACTTACACGGTAGGTTTTCGCGAATTCTCTTAGTTCAACGCTCGTATGTACGACAGATGACAGAAATAATTTAATATGTGATTTATTAAAGTTTGGAAATAAATGTATTTGTGCAATGTAATTGAATTTCCTCACTATTTCAAGAAGATTATTGTCAAATTTCCGCCTTGGCTAAAGTGAGGCGTGCAAAATCGTTACACGGAGGACGCGATGCCCAGGCCCGAGAACACCAGCCCCACCGAACCTGCGTCACACCGCACCACATGCCAGGACGAATGATGAATTGAGATGCAGAGAGACTTGCTAATGGAACTTCGAGATGACGATGGGGGGTTAACGCAATATTTAGACCTGAGAACACCAGCTCTACCGAACCTACAATGCTACGACATACACACATGCGAGTACATTAGACTCGTGAACACAAGCTGTCAACCTACCGCCACAGTTAAATCACATTTTGTGTGGTAATAAAAGGGGAAATATTGGTATACATGAATGATTTCTACTTGATTTTGGATGGCGGACGAAGAAAAAATCAAATCAAAATACAGGTAAACCTCGATACTATAGTACCTCTCTATTCTACGCCACCCTCATTGTAAGCAATAAGAAATCATTCTCCTTTTACTAATACTACTAATACGTGATAGGTACCGCGATAAAACGTCACCCTTGCTTACCGCCATCCGCCATGGAATGAAAAGTACGGTAAGTTCTGACAAAGTTAGATGTGATTTCTTCTCAGATCATTTGGACACCCGAAGAACTACTAGTAGTATCCTTCTTCTTCTTCTGAGCTTGATCTCATTTGTGCAAAAACTCCACAGACTGTGAACTTGACGAGTGGCCCGCCGCTCTTAATACCTTGACAAGCCTGCCATACCATGAAATGAAAGGAAGCAGTCGTTTGACCTTGCCGGGAGTGTGTTCAATGAGAAAGCGGACGAATTTAACTGGAAAGGAGAAGCGTAAATTTCGTGTTTATGGGGAAGAAAACCCTTCTTTTAGTAAGTAGAATGGTTCAAATAATTTTTCGTGATTATAGGGTAAGCCACTAAGCAGACTAAGCTGTAAATGATATTCTTGATGAAAAATGTAAATGGATGAAAAAAACGCGTGGATAAAAAATCTAAGACTAGTTTAAATACCGCAAATGAATGCTAAAAATGGAACCTTAATTGATGAAGAGATAAAGAAACAAGCCAAGAATTATGATGACAAATTAGATTGACTGGCTTGGCATACAGTAATGATTGGCTGATTCGTGTTAAAAAAAACGTCTTGGAGTAATGCACACGAAACACGGGGAAACAGCGAAACTTGATGCATCAGGAAAGAAGGTCGCGGAAGAAGGCACGGCAGCGAGCGCGGCGGAACGGAAGGATAGAAGGCATTCCGTTCCCCTCCGCCCCGGCTCGCAGGGGGAGGGGCGGCGCAGAGGAGACGTTTGACCGCTAGCGATGACGGAGCCTTAGAGACGTTTTATAACGACCTAGCTGTAAACTGTGATTCCTTCTGGCGTATTGAATTGGTAGGCTCTTTTGTGGCACGTCTATTGGACATTCGGCAACATAGCTTGTACATGGAGTTGATTTGGAAAGGGTTATGTGGCAGTACGAAATAAACAGTTTTCATTTTTGTATTATTGAGTTGTTTCCTGAGTTTCCTAGAACGCAACAAAAATGTTTAAATTACATGTACTGTAGTACCCGAGTATGTGTGTTACTATATAACATTTTTTCTCAAACATAATCCAAATTTATTCTTTAAATTTTTTACACGGATAGAAAAAGGATACTTAAAAGAATGGCCTATTTTTTTCGCAGAACACTCGGATTTTTTCAAAAATGGGAAAGTTAGAAATATTGCGAGAAAGTATGTGCTGTTTAGCACTACTCGTTTTTTGTACGTTTTGGAAGTCAAGCATGGTAATATCATTTTTTTAGTTATTTCAAATTGTTTTGACTCTAATGCAGTTTGAATATGCACTCGAGTATTTCTGTTAAATACAAATTCCCAATTAAGTGATTGCTTCAAAGGATAGATACATACCTGAAATTAAACTAGCACGTGACGCTGACTGTCTGTATTGTGTCTCCATATATTTGGGCATAAATGTCCAGTAACCGATAAGACCGAACATAAAACACACTCCACTGAGGGTGTTGAAGAGTAACACTCTGCTCCGAAGTATTCTTCTTAGTGCTACAACAAAATCTGAAAATAAAACACAATATTAGATATGTTTATTTTATTAAGGAAATAAAATTGTTTACAAGAGAGGCAAAATCATCATCATCATCATCATTGCGCTTGTTTTAACGTCGGTTTAGCCTCTAAGGCTTACAAAATAGTCCCTTGTTCTCATCATTCAATATCCTGTATGTATCCACAAAAAACTTAAGTTGGTCACTTGAGCGCTTTTATCAGTGACTCTAAGCCCCTTTGCGGCCCGAACCCACATTCCGTTGCAGTCAATAGACATGTAGCAACGTTTGGAACATTTTCAACAGTTTAAAGAGACATGGTGGTGGACAGATTGCTCACACGTAACAGCTCGTAGACTATTGACAAAGATTTCTCCGCCTGTCCGCTTGCTGTCATGTTCGCTATCATGCACAATCGTTTGTTCAAGAGGCGGGAAGGGTAAGAACGGCTATTTTGACAGGCGTTGCATGATGGTTTGGAAAAGCCCCAAGTATTCAACGACATTCATGCCCGTGCCGGGTTTCGAAACTGTGACCCTTCCACCTGACGCGCGTTAGAATTAGCAAATGTTGGCTATCCAGGTTAGGACCATAGTTTCTTCAGCGTACTTTTTGTCTTTGTAAATCATCTTTGAATGATAAGCATTCTATAATTTCGATAACGATAATTGTTTGTAAGCTTATGAGGTGTAAAAAAAATAAGCAGAGCACGTACATGTTCAGTTGAGAACCAAAGGTAGCACGTATAACCACGAATTTTTGAACAATGTTTTATTCTCTTTTGATGAAATTTCCAGTTATTACAATAATAATAATAATAATAATAATAATAATAATAATAATAATAATAATAATGGATAATTGTATGTAGTTAGGTTGGTAGCTTCACATGACACCAACAACTCGTTTTCATGTAAAATTATACAATTTGATGAAAACTTATAAAAATAACAAATAATAATTTTTATATTTATGACTACAAATAGAACAAATATTTAAAAGTTGCAAAAGTCAACAATGTTAACAAACATATTTTCATTAAAAGCATTCGTTGAATGTTCTACCGAGCGTTTACTGCATTGTCTGCTTCGGTAGTTACCCCTATTTGTTTGGAAATAGCAACGTTTAAAGCGGAAGCAGAGGCAGTGCATCTCTGCACGTCCCCATATCAGCAGTATTCATAGCAGCTTGGCTTTAACAATGTCTGAGGAATTGTGAAAAACACTTCTTTGCCTCTCCCAACACTCTACCTCTTATCACTTTCCACCCTTCGGGGATAGCTGTGCCCTACTGAAATTGCGATTTTGCTAAGGTATCCAAAAGTGTTTCGTGCTTCAGGAAGAAATGTGTGGCCCTGAACAAGCTGGAAGAATTTGTACTGAAAATACTGCAAACTAATCCAGCACAATAAAACAAGACAGAAGTTATCTTTCCCTGGAGAACTGAGAAAATAGTTTTAAAAAAGTGTGTCACGTTGTATTAGACGGACCTTGTCTGCGAACCTCATGCGTTACCCCTGTGAAAACACGTGTGCCCGCTGCGGTATTGGGCAGTGGGAATTACCAAATAAGACGATTTCGTCAGAGTGCAACGCAATGTCGCTATTTACATACAGAAGAAAACGATTTGACAACAAAATCTCTCCTTTTTGCACTCATTATATCGGATGTCTCATAATAAAATATTACAAACCTCTAGGAAGTCAAAAATGGTGTTGGGAGTCATGTTGAGGAGTAATACAAACGTCTAGGGAGTCATGTTGAAGAGTCAAATATTACAACTTTCTGCCAATGAACAAGTAGTGAAAATTTCTTAAAATGAAGCAACGTATTCGGGATGTTCGCCTGATTTTTACGCAGCTTCTTATGTATAAATGTTCGACAGATCACTTTTTTACTTACTGAATAATGAGTAATGTACCTGCCAAACATCTGGATGTGCATATGTGGTTGCCTTACAATAAGGGGCAAATGTAACATCTGTAACTACAAATAACTCAGATATATAAAACTTCCCACAAAAATTCGTTCTTAAAAAGTTATAAATTTCGACCCCTCTACATGCTCTAGAAGCTTGTAACATTTATTATAAATAAAATACACATTCTTATCTTAAAATGGAGGATATTAAAAATATTGTCTCAACTCTAGTTAGGTCATAGCTACGAGCGTGATAAGTACCTTCGATGCTCTTCTTTTGCTTCTGCGGAGGCGGCGTGGAGTGGAGGAGAGCGCGCCTAGCGCGGCGCTCGGCGGCGCGAGGAAGCTGGCGCGGGAAGAGCATCATGAACGCAGCCAGCACCAGTCCCAGCGCCACGCTCGGGCCGTAGCCTGCACCAACACATGAAAACTCATTACTTATACATTGCTTCTTAGGGGAACGGTCCAGACTGCTAACTTTTCTTGTTGAAGACTAGGCTTCAAACCCTAGCAAACTTTTTTTTAAATAATAAATCGGGTTTCGAAAATGTTCCGACGGTGTTTTTCCGAATTATTCGACATTTGTCCCATCATCATTCACATATTTTTATCATAACCAATTCATTCATCCATCAAAAACCGTTCATCCCAAGAATTGCTGAAACGATATGAACTGAGGATCATCACAACCAGGAAATAACATCAAGTTTGCCTCGTACTACAAGTTACTATAAAACGTTCGTTTATAACATTTTTAATATCTACATTCGTGGCCTTCACCGTGCTTCGAAAGCCCTTTGCTAAGCTTCCATCATATTCGAGTCCCGTCCACCGAGCCGTTCATATCGCAGAGCGCTCGTAAAAGTCGGAACGCTAGCGTCGGTACGGGCCTGTCCGATACCGACAAACCAGTTTATATTTCAAGTGCTTCTAGTAGTAAGTGCAATAAAAGAAATATAGTGTTAATCCAGTGCATCGAATAACTTTCACCAATGGCATTCGAAGTGAATCAATCAATAGGCAACGTAGTCAGCAATGCTCTTTACGTGCTACACAACTCCAGCGGTATTCCGCAAAGCAACTTCATCAATTTATCTACCACACGCAGTGAAAGTGCTACGAACGAAGATACAGCCATGAAATCTTCTACACCAGAAACTTCATGTTATCAAGACACATTGCAAGGAACAACGCTCGTAACCTTAGGCAGCCGGCATGAGGGAGAAGCCAGCGTCAACCAAAGAAAAAGGTCAGTAGGCGAGGACGCTTCAAACAGTAATAACAAAAAACACAGTGCAAATGCAAGTGACATTGACTATGTTAAAGGTTCTACATCAGATTTAGCCAGTGCGCTACCCACAGACGGTTACGTTGTTCTAATGGACCCAAAACTTTAACCACAGAAATGAGAATATAGACTTCAAATCTTCATACAATGTCCCAGTAGGTAACAGATTTTCGGAATTAGCCTCCAAGGAAACCAGTTCTCTTCCCTCAGAGAACATCCTCAACTATCTAAAGTATGATCAATCTTCACAGTCTACAATAACCAATAAAACACCCCCCATTTTCATTACCGAGATAACTAATATCAACTCATTCGTTAATGAAATTAAAATTAACGTATCAACAATTTTCGAAGCTGAACAAAAAACAACAAAGAGAAAATAAATCCTGGCTCAGTTGAACATTTCCGTAAAATTATAAAATACGTAATCAATACAAATAGAATATTCCACTCTTACAAAAACCCTGCAAACAAAAACTTTTCGGTAGTATTCAAAAGTGTCCAACACTCCATAACTGACAATGAAATCATGCAAGATTAAAAACAAAGACACCCATCCATTGTTAAAATCACCCGTATTCAGAAGGACAGCCATCCCATTACTGTAATAGCTGCCGAGTTCAACGGCAATGAACCACTGGAAACAATACTCAACAATAATCAAATCTGCAACCTAAAAGTCACCACCGTAAAAGGACCAAAAGGTCCACTATAGTGCTATAGATGTTTGGACTTTGGACACTCTAGAAACAATTGCGATCACAAAATTAACTGCGCAATATGTTCCGGTAATCACTATACTGTAACTTGTCCTGAAAGTAAACCAAACCCCACCTGTATTCTCTGCAAAGGCAATCACCGTGCAGATGTAAGAAATGAGAACTGTTGCTATAAGGAACATGCTATAAGGATATGCTATAAAGAAATTGTTGAAAAATAAACCACCCCACCCGATAACACAAAAAATTTATTCCAAAGAACACCACCCTCATCCCTTAGCAACTAACGAGAGCAATTTCCATCACTACCCCCTACCCAGCCAATACGTAACTTCACTACAACCAACCACCCTGTAAACCAATCAATATGAGATCACAAATACCAATATGAGATCACAAATAAACCGTACTCAACAAATCCAACAAGATAATAATAATAACAATCCCCTTTTAAATGAAATAATTAATTATATATCGTCCTGTATTATTAACTTCATAAACTTCGTCATACTATCAATAATTAATACAATTCAGAATACAGTAACAGCATTTTTAATAACAATAATGTCAACAAACCCATAGAAATATATCATTAACAAATTGGAATTCAATCGGGATCACATTCAAAAAAATCGAACTTTCTCAATATTTCTACACATACAACATAGACACTGCGTGCATAACAGAGACGCACCTACACAATAGTAATAAATTTTACATTCCAGAATACAAAATTTATAGAAATGACAGGACCGAACATATAGGAGGTGGTGTACTTATAGGAGTCAGGAATAACATAATTCGTCGTGAATTTAATATACCAAACATCACAAAAATTGAAACAATAGCAATAAATAAGGGAATATAATATCTGATAATGGAATAAAAAATTAATATCCATTCCACATATTTTGTAAATTGTTCTCAGATCTGGAATAGTTCCTATGAGATGCCATTATGGTTTCCTCAACCTCTGTAGTAGTATTTAGTTTGTATAAGTTAAGTTATAAGTCATCAATACATATGTAACGTTATCAAAAACTGAACTATGTACAAAACAATCAAATAAATAAATAAAAAGAAACTAAGCTTCCATATCGATGTCCATAAATGAAGTTACGCTGTCTTTGGAATTTATTTTATTTGTAATCATCTCTTGATAACTCATAATTCACACTATGTATCAGTAAATGCACTATTACCAGGGAATAAAATACACATGCGACGAAGCTTCACACATGAAGTGCTGAATAAAGATTGACACTGTATAATCGATTATAATAATGGACATCTCTTGGCGAATGAAAATTCTAAGAGATTCACTTAAATCATTAGTTCTGTCATAATTCTTACTTTGAAAACTTCTCGCAATTCTATCGGCCAAATTGCTTGTTTAGTTATGATCCCCTTAAATGCCAAAACACATTGAACACGTTAATTGTTTTATTCGACTAAGAAAAAAAGTTTTTTAGAAAATGTGTAGAACGTATAAATGTTTCGATGGATTTATGATTTCCCATTGTCTACCTTTTAAAGTACTTATCTTTCAACATTTGTCTGCGTTACCTGCGACATTTGTGTGCTAGAGAGTGCTAACATTATCCCAAGTAAAATATTTCCAGTCATATTTGTGGCTCCTTTGTTTCATGTGTTTGAGTCTATCCTATCCTGACTTACAGTTTATTGCCCTCGCATTCCTGTTATTAATCTTATGTGTCACATATTGTGGAAATGCATTTGTAAAATTAAAGCATATTTTATGAGAGTTGGTCCCATACTATTTGCTACATATCTATGATTACACTTTTTGAAATTATGTTTCTCATCCTAATGTTGAAAATATGTTTCTATCCTCATTAATATTTCGATTACTAAATATCTCGCGTTCATAATTTATTCACTAATAAATTATTCAGTAACAAAAACTTCTCTTTTCCTTTCTCTTCACCGCGCTATCTCTCGTTCCTCTATTTATTTCCATTCACTAAAATGCATTAAAGATAACTTTCAAGATATACTTCTGTCGATCTATCTTCAAATTGTCATTGTTTATAGGAAGGAATTCGGGAAGATAACATACTTAGACGCTGAAACATTGAAGCACAAATATTAAATTCTTTGTGTTGCTTTTATCTGAGTCTCAAACTTTTAAAGAAGAAGTTTCGTCGCATTACAGAAAATCATCACAATCACCACGTTCCATGAAACATTGTGCGTTTTTTTGGATCTATAAATAGTATTAGGAATTGTTACTTTTCCTTGGCTATACAGAGTGTAGAGGAAAGTTAAGCTAGGTCAAAAAGAAACGATGTCAAGATTTCTGTTTAAAATTGATTTTAAGGATCCCTAAGGCAAAACGTGTGTTTGTGTGTGTTTTGCATAACTCCTAATAATAAATATAAAAATTTCTTAATAATAAATATTTATGTGATGAATTATTAGAAATAATTAATAACTCAAAAACAAATATTTTAAAGCAGTAAATTAAACTTAGTTCTGTAACTTTCACAAAATGAGGAAATCGAAAAACAGGATAATCACAACATTACATAAAACTCTTTCAATTCAGCAATATCTTATATATTGCCTAGAGTTTAGAGATATTGCCTGAATTTTTCATTACCCGTTACTCGTCTTTCAACGATAATGTTAAATATCTACGTTTGTGAGAAGTCGTTATGACTTGAAGATTTAAATGCGACGTCACTCACCAATCCACCAGGCGCCGATCCAGCGCGGGTCGTCTTGGTCTATGAGCGGCGTCACGTCCAGGTCCACATACTGCGACAGCGCGTACGACGCCAGGGAGAAGCCGATGGTGGGGCCCAGCATGCGGATGCAAGAAGTCGCCGCTGTGGCATATGAAGACGAGAGTGACACTCACAGCTAGAAGCGCCGCCGAAGAACAAATTGAAGGACTTGAGTGTAAAACATGATGATGTTGCAAAATGATTACTCCTTCGCTAAATCCTAAATAGAACTCAATTTAATATGTTGTCCCTGGTCAACTTTCAATGACAATTAAATTATTCACATCATTTGCTTTCTTTCATGATACATTTTTATTACAAATAATGCTTTTAAAATTGGCCAGAGACAATATACTAAATCAAGAGAATTAATAGACAATTAAAATAAAAATAGCGATGTCGATGGAAACGTTTTCAAGTAATCAGCTTAAGTTTTCAAGTAAACCAGCTTAAATATCACTCAGATGGAAAAATTTTAAAGTAATAAACAACACGAATATTTTGGCTGAAGAAAGTTTCATAAAAATGACAACCGCAGAACAACTGTGAGCAATAAATTGAAAAATTTGAGTGTCATAATAAATGGACAACTGTAAGAGCTCACCCTGCAGGAGACAAAAAGTATGTCACAGAAATTATCTTTTTGAGGCTTAGCATCTTTTACACCCGAGTCGTTGAAACAATTAAATAAAAACGTATGGTATTTCCTCAATTTTCTGAATCAATTACAAATACCAACCTACAGATTATTGCTGATAAGCTTTGTTGAAATTAATAGTGAGTCATTCATTGTGTTCCTGTTTAGGTTACAACTGGTTTCAGTTATACTCAATTAATATTCTCACATCTAATTTTTAAAATACACAACAAATCTCCTCGAATTTCCTTAAGACCCTTACGTTAAGTGTTGATCCTTTCGACAGTGCTATTTTAGTTCTAGCGGAGAGTAATCATTGTGCAACTGCATATTCTTCCAATTTGGACGCCCATGCAGTTGCCCTATTATATGTCTTTGACCCCAATGAATAAGATGATATTTCACATTTTTTTCTGAAAATAAGATAAGCATACTATTGCTTTCTCCTAATCATTGTGGACATTTGAGTATAATCAGGGAAGTTAAATTCCTTGTGGTTGCGAAATAATGGGCGTATGTGTATTTACGAACATTACGTAAATTTTATGAATGTCTAAATCCTAACAAGAAAATTTTTCAACAAGTTTCGTTATTGTTCCAATGTTCTTATTATTTCGTAACATGGATTTGAAAACATTGATTGTTATAAAATAAATTGAATTTTATATTTATTCACACTAGTCAACCTAACCACATAAGGTTTTCAACCTATGTCAACCTAACCACAGAAGGACAATATAGTAAGTAACATTTAGCAGTCATGAGTTACTAGCTTATTCCCGGGGGGTCAACGATTTACTGCTGAGAAGGTTCTATTTGTATTTACATCACAAAAGTCGGTAATGCAGTTGATAGTGAAATGCAACTCTATATGAGAAGAATTTTCATTAAGACTCTCGTTGCAGATGAAATAGCACTAATGAAAACGCTTTGGCTTTCCTTCTTCCACCGTCTTGTATAAGATTTTGTCTAATCATGTCAATTATTAAATTCAAGAATAGTCACGCTTCAAAATATTTAAAAAATATTTTTAAATAGCGTCCATAAAGTAATGGGGACCTACTAGAATACAACATTCAATTTTTGTGCAAATAAGCAAGCAAAGAAAAATTATTTTATGAATACATTTCATTGTTAACGACCCACGGTTAAAGGGTTATATCGTGGAATGAAGAATAATTTACCCATATGTTTTAAAAAACTATCTTACTGAGACGCCTTTATTTATATTGACAATATTATATTTTTTTGGATGCTGTATCATTATGAGCAACAATAACTTGAAGAAATTAAAAACACTTACAATCATTTAGTTTATTAGGAGGAGAGAAGAAAACCGTCAATTCTAAGATAATGAACCTTTCGAAAGTGGAAGGGGTCCGGACCTACCGAGGGTAAGAGGCGCCTTGTCTTTGTGCGTATTGTCGTCCAGATACGCTACGCCCAGCGTCCAGTACATGGACGAGCCGATGCCCAGAAGGATGCTGGACACGAAGAGGATGATGGAGGGTGGGCCGAGGGAGCCCCCGTCCGAGCAGTCGTCCTCGTCCCGCGATCCGCCTCCGCCGCACAGAGATCCCCTATCATCACCAGCGCTACCTGCTGCCAATCGCCGAAGTATGATGTATTCAATTGTTTTCAATGAAATGTAGTTTTTAGACTGTCACTAGTTAAAAAGGCTCTTTCAGGGCAAGCTTAGCGTGCTAAATGTTCAATTTTACCACTATTGCTAAAAGTGAGAAAATGCTCAAGTTTTGTAGAAAACACTCCGAATGCCCGAAGGAAACAAAATTATTTCGTCTAACCGCATCAGCTACTACTGACCTTAATGTTTCATTAAGTGATTTGTTTACTGAAATAAAGGTAAAATGAAAGTCAGTGAGGATAGCATTAAATGCAAACCTAGGGACCATCCCGGCATACGCCTTAAGCAACTGAGTGAACTCAAAAAACCTTAATCAGGATGGCGGCTTAGGGCCAAACATTATAAATACGTAGAAGTGGAGGAGAATTACAAAATGGGGATAAAGGAAACATATATGAAAATGAGGAAGCAATGCGAAGGAGTAAGAAGAAATGAGAGAGTCTAAGAAGGGGACAAGCTGTACACTTATGACTGTAAGTGCAGAACAAGGGACCATCCCGGCGTACGCTTTAAGCGATCGAGTAAACCCAGAAAAGCCTCAATCAGGAGAGACATAAGTTTCGATGCAGCACTTTTTTAAGACAGTTTAGATAAATCAATACACATTTTACAGGTTTTTGAATCAGCCTTTTAAGATTTCCGTGAAGTAATCATGAATAAAAAAACGTTTGCTTTCTTACTCACTTGAACTATTCCCTAGCACGATGGCGCCTTGATCTCCATACTCCTTGGTGAGTTCCAATGCGTCCTGACCTGGCCCATACAGCAGATGGGGCAACAACCGGCCGAAGCAGGCGACGGACATGAGCAGCATCCCCACAGCCACGAAGCGCGGCTTGTGCCCGGTCCTGCCCAAATATCCCATTATCAAAACCGAACCGCATGAACCGATGTCCCACGCTGAAGAAATTATTCCTGTATTAAAGTCAAAATAACACAAATCACTTCGATTCTATTAAAGGGTTCTACATACATTGTTATGTTGTAAGATACTCACATCAAAATATGCTTCGTACCTGCTAAAAATGAAAATTGTTTTAAATTTAACTTTTTCAATTAAATTATCTTCTGCTAATCGAATCACCTGAAATATGTCGGCCATGAAAATTTTCGAATTTTTTCTCGAACAATAATGTAAAAATTGGAATTGTACTTTTATATTACGTTTCATTTAAAACTTTCTCATTCTAATTCATAGAAATTTATTTGTCTGTATTGTTTACTCGCATCCCCCGGAACAGAAGCAAATTTTCCAAGATTTTAAACAACATTTGAAGAATCGACAGAGTTCATCGTCATTATCAGTTATTATGAAATATTCACTGTTTTACATTTGTCATCTGTAATCTGATTTATCGAACGCAAGGGAAAGTTTCATATAGTGAGTCGGCTTGGAATCATCAAATTAACCTTTAAAAGTGTTTGACAACATACGAAGATTTAAAATTGTATTTTTCAGAAACTATTAGTAATTATTCGTAGATTGTAGAATATTAATATATAATTATATTAAAAATATAAAATATTTAAATGCATGTAATACATCAGCAATATTGTTAGTCAACGTACGTTTGTTATTCTGATTTTTTCCCACAAAATAAGTCATGAACACTTTTCTCCGATTTTCACGTGTTCTCTATAGCTTAATAATTTAATTTACTTTTGTTTATGTAAAGTGATGTAAAGTGCCCGATATTAAGAAAAAAATTAGAATCAATGATCCTGAAATAATTCTTGCTTGCAAAAATAATATTTAATTTTTTTGCCTTTTGAATATTTCTAGTACAATTTTCTTTATTAAAATTATTTCACTCACCTGTCGTTTTGCTAGGAATTTTAAAACGTTTTTCCATTGTGCTGATTGTGGCAACAAAATAGGATCCTGTGGCGAATTGATGAAATCCTATTAGTCCGTGAAGTAGCACATACACCTTCTTGCTGGCTAGCCGCTGCAACCATGCTGGTCTCCAGCCACCGAAACCGCAATACGTATCCGGATCCTGTTCGGGTGTGTCCTCAAGTTCTGGGGGTGATTCGATCTACAATCCGAAGACAATTTTTTTCTGTTGTGGGTTTCCTTGTCTCCGGCGGTTAGCTAAATATCTTCTCAAGAGCCAACAATGGTTTATTCAGAAGATGATATCAAAACTTTCCTTACCCGTACTAAAAATATATTTACATACTTAGTGGATCCGTGCGAGCATTACACACTGAGTAAATCGTTGTTTTTAGTAAAAATAACTTCATACTGGATCCCAAATTCGAACAGATAGACCGTGAACTATGAGTTACTTAATATAACCTGTCTTTTCCGCGGTGCCCAAAACGCCTTCCTAATCTATTTTTTCAACTTTCTGGGCTTGTGGACTCTCCCTCTCGATACCAATTTGTGGAGGATGACCGTAGGCCCACCTTACTCAGTTTTATCTTTCTTTGATACGCACATCTCCGCTCGTACGAGCCTGGAGTGGAGAGGATTTGGGATGAATGATTTGATCCCCCTCCCCACCTCCGGCACCTCCCGTCTCCGCACTGCCCACTTTCTCGTTCGTAGAGCGGGGGATACCGAAATGAGTATTGGTGAATGAGATACATGCAACTGTGAGAAAGTCACGAGTAGATGGCGTCGACAGCCGTGCCTCACGCGAAGATAAAATCCACGCGCATTTGACAACTCATTGCCGAAGCTCTTGCTCTAAATAGTCAGCTCGGTTCTGTGCGTTTCTATTCATTTTAATATTGCTAAGCGTTGAACGCCCAGAATGACTTGGTTACATGCGATAAAATTACGTTTTATAAAACAATAAATTTAACACATCATATTTCGAGATATTGAACAATTATGATTACATGTGCTACACAGTGGAAGTACCCGGATCAAATAAAACATTCAAAAATTAAATAGAATACTAACAAATTTCTCAATTAGTATATTGCAGTCTAAAACATTTAACAATTGCCCCAGAATTCTTCAATGGTCTAGGACGCACAGTTTGTGAGAAATTCACGATGTATATTTTCCATCAAACAGCAGTGTGTGTTGCGAGTGTCATGAAGACCTAATTATGTTTTCAATACTTTCTACAAAATTCTACACTTTTATTCTCAATTTGTTCCATACAAATCTGAGGATAATTCCCTACTCATCAATATCCAATTTACAGGGATTTGTTAGGAACGTATAAAAATACATTACGAACTTACAAAAAGAGAGATCACTTATTTATTCTTGGAAGTAGGCTAAATACGTACTTGAGGTTGTTGACTCATTCATCCCCGTTTCTCCTGTCAGAATACAAATACCTAGGTGTCAAGCAAACAAGAAAAATATATGTCTCACTGATATCGCCTATTTATTATCTAAGTTGTTTAAATATGCTTTGCTCTTAGGCTTCCCGCTCGTATATACACCATTGTTTCTAAAATGTACGATACGTAAGTGACAATCTAAATAATAATACAGTGAAATACTTCGTATTAATTTAATTATTCACCCTAAATTGCCTTATCATCATTAGATCATTAATTAAAAAATTTAATTTTATACTCTTAGTATAAGTCTGGTCAGGTAAGTGTAGCTTAAAGTAATATTTTTCGGAGAAAATTCTGTGTGCTAATCTATAAAACTATTGCATTTTATATTGAAAATGTATAGACCTCCCTTAGATAATAAAATTGAAAAGTTAATATTTATTTATTCAATGATGGATAACACAAAGAGCAAAAGAAGTGGAATTTTTAAGGAAATAGAGGATAAGGTAAAGGAAGATAAAATAAAAAGAAAAGTAATTTGAGTGGAGGGTATACAGTACTATTTTCAGTATAGCTGGTTTACGATCTCGTTCACATAATGAGGGATTACAAGACATGACTATCTCAAGGGCAAGGTCACACGTCTAGATTTGACTTTCCACGGGTTTTATATAAAAATTGAACCTAATGAGATTTTAAATGACCGCAAAAACGTAAAGAGACAGTTTATGTGCCCTTCAACTAAATATAAAAAGTGTTTATTTCATTAAAACGCAGATATGTAAGAAATCTGTATAGCGTACATCCGTTGTAATATCGCAATATACCTGTCGCTTTATTGCTCGTCAGATAAAACAAATATCCGTGATAATTGGTCATGTTTTCACTCTGCGTAACATTTTTTTTGCTAAAACTAGACTACAATTGACAGTACAAAATCAAAAGAAAACATAAAAATTGTGATGTTCTATTAAAGTAGAGAAATTTGTTTAGGAAATAGTATACTTTTTCATTTCATAGAGATAGTTTCCAAGACTGGCGATATGTAGAGTACAATACTTTAACTGAGGCTCCGCTCATTACACAAATGATAATTCTCCTGCAAGTAAGCAAATAGTCTCATGCAAAATAATTTTCCTGGAAATAATTTTTGGTATGTGTGTACCGACGATACTTGTTTTGTCGAGAGACCGGACGAAAACAAGCATTTCAATGTTGTACCTGTGCATCCCCCTAACCACCCGAAAAGCACCGGACCCCGACCCACCTGCGCTTCCGTGAGCCGGCCCGTGAGCCCGTTGGCGCCCGCGGGCGCCGGCGGTTCGCGCTCTGCCATGGCCGTGCGTGCGCTGCTGACCGCGACCGTCGCGACCGCCGGGAGCGCGCGCACTGGCGGCGGGCGAAGGCTCCGCCCAGGCCCCTGCGGATGCCTTGCTGCTCCCGCCTTGTGACCCGACGCGCGCCGCTCACCCCCGATCGTAAATTAGTTTACGTAATGGGGCGATGGCGCTGTCGCTTGAATCCAGGTGCCAAGAGGCTTTTGCTCTGCCCCTGTGAACGTTATGCCCTGATTTCTAGTTACCACACGCTGCTTAGATCTTATCTTTCGGTGACGTTCAACGCACTACCGAGAAAGTCGTCTTTTATGGCATTCGTTCTTATATTAAATCGTCTTCATTGTTCTTGTACTACTAAAAATATGGTTAATGTTAAGCGAAATTAGAATTGCAAGAAATTAGATTCTTAACCCCTTACCATAATTAAGAGCACTAAAATACTTTACAAGAATAAGTGAATCTTGGGATTCATAATGGTGAATTTCTCTCTTCGATTCTTCAGTCATAACGTGAGTGCCACCCATCATGCAAAAGAAACTTCCCTTTTCTGTAAACACAACATTAACGTTTCTGTTAAAATGTATATAGGAGTAGACATTGTGAATACAGGGGTGAATGTAGGGGCTTTCTAGTTGTAGATTACAGGGCACTTATGGTAGATGAACAGAATTTTAATTTTCTCCGACAGATATACTCGTAGTCTGCGATATACTCGCAGGAGTAGGGCGGCGACTACGATGTCTTATGTTTTTTTGAAAAGATGATTTAAAAAAAATGGTTTATTCAAGTAAACATCAATTTATTAAAAACGTATTTTAACGTCAATGTTTCGTGCTCGATATTTTATGTGGTCGATATTTTGTTTTTGAATGATAATGTACCATAACAAAAAAATCATAATTTTTCATTTATTCATAAACTGAATATTCTTTGGACCTAAGTGACCTAAGGTAAAAAGTAAGTTATTCCATTGTGCTTTGATAAATTTAGTTATTATTTTTGTAATAACTAATAAGCGTTTTGTTAATTGTTCTGATAAAATTTGATTTTGTTTTATCAGAAATATCTCAACTGTAAATTAATGAACTCAACTACTATCAAATTAAATACGCATTTGCGAACCCTAATTTTAGAGGTAACTAAATGAGTTTTAAAATCAACGGTATTTACAAACAACGATTTTTTGAATGAGTGTTTTTATTTTGCACATTGACTGCTTTGCGGGCAACGTAGCAATCCTAGCAAAATGTGAATGAGTATTTGTGTTACCTGGCGCGCGCGTCAGCTTCTCTCGCCATTAGACATGTGAGAGTGGTGAATGTTACAACGGGAGGAAGTGGTACTCCTCCCTATTAGTAACCACGCGATGACGTCCACGGCCTTCTCTTCAGGTCTCTGCCTGCACTGCACCGCCCCAGCCGGGACAAGCTCTAGGCCGGCGACTGGTCTCCCAACATTCCGGTACTGCAGGAATGTGTGAGTAAAAGAAGAGGATAGGGTAAGAAAGAGGAAGAAAAGATCATGCGTAGTCCTTGGCTCTTTTGTTAGGGTACTTCTCCGGCATTACCCTGGTATTGACCGGAGAATCCATGGCAAAACTAGCGATCAGATGAGCCGGCCGCCGGAAGTGTTTTTCTGGCAGCGACTGAATTCGACGTCACCTTCCATGGAAAAGCCGCCGCCGTCGCGACTCGCCCCGTAGAGCCTCCGTGGCATGGGGTCGGCCCCGCCCCCCGCGCCGAGAGAGCAAGTGGCCGGCCGTGAATGGACCAAAATGAGGCGGCGGACGAGGTTGTTGGCCACCCGCCGCTCATTCTCCGAACGCCCAATGCGTCGCGCGTGACGAATCACAACGACGCGACGCGACGCGACGGCCGCAGTTGAGAACGACGCAGCGCCGCTCCTGCTCCTAAGGCAGATTTGCCATCCTCAGTCCTTCGGGTTCAGAGCGTTAAATGGTTTTGTGTGTATTTGGCATTTGAGTGTCGAACTGATCCGACTTTTGCCAGCACGGTGTTTCCACGCCTAGGTCCTATTTTTATTTATTATAGACTCCTGGGATAGACCTCGGTGGCTTGTTGGTTTGCGTGTTCGCTTTCCAAGGCGCAACCCCGGGTTCGATTCCCACTGGAGACAAAAATAAATTGTGCGCTTTCTTTGCAATGTTGCTGCATGACGATGAGAAAGCTCACTTCTGAAGTTGAGAATACCAGCGTAGGGATGTATTCGTGCTAACTACACGTACCCCTTAACTCATGGCCGCAAGGCCGGGACGCTGTGGTAGGCCTTCGCTCGTAAAACCCTGTTGTGCCAAAGTACACACATAGACGCCTGGGATCAAGGGAGACCTTGTGGCAAATCTGAGTTTTTACTTTCATCGTATCTAGCAAATTCCCCCTTCCTGAGATTTTATTTCGCCATACAATTTCAAAAACTGGAACGATTGTAATGGAAAGGTACACAGCCCTATTTTTGCCCTGACCGGGAATGGAACAAAGAATCGAGCAAGGAATCTATCACGCTGCTCATGAGCCACCTGAGGGCATAAATGAAAATAAAACTTCAACAATGTAAAATTCAAACTTTGTATGATAGAATGCGCTTTTCATAAAACTTTTTTGTTTGAAAATCTTTATCATTAATTCATTGTACTTGCGTTTTGGGGGAAAGATACGAAATATTTGTAAGAAATTGTGTGAATTTAATTGAAACTAGTGGTGCTATAAAATAAAGTACCTTGTCAAATTATTTGTAAACGTTTCATAATATGGACACTATTTGGACATGTGCAAAAAATTTGCATTGTACATGTTATCACGGCCAGTGACGATTTACTTTTCATGGAGATCTCTTCATTCACAAAAGACATGTATCTATGAGTGTTTCCATGCACGTGACAGATACATGGAAAATATGTTAACAAAACGAACAAATTTGTATTGTCACTTTTCAACCTTTAAATAAACGATAGCACGATGTTAAAGTTTCGGTAACTGGGAAAATCTCGGGTACTAAAATGGAAAATATAACAGACATTATCCTACGTAATCTGAACAACTAACATTTTCTGTTTAGAAGCAGTAGCGGACCTTAATTTGACCGCTCCACAAAGCTTTCCAATGAACCATTCTATATTTAAAATGCATTAATATTAAAATGCAATAGTTAATCTTAAATTAAAAATTACAATACATCGTTTATGAAAATAATTAAGAAACATGTAAATAACTGATTTTATAATACACGTTGCACGAAAGCCTGAAGCTACTGCTCTGGTTTTAAAAGCGAATAGTTGTGTATAAAATAAAACAAAAATAAACTTTGTTACTTCAAATTAAATTATTAAATTTCAATTATAAAGTTAAATTGTTAACAGTAAGAATATCGTAGTTTTAAATCTTTACATTTTGGAAACTCCTCAGCTCTTCCTAAGGCAAACCTACGGATGAGTTATTTACGACCCTGCCCACAAGTATAATCTCCGTGACGTAACCCATCCTTTCGGTGTGTTCTTTAAGTTGACGGGCTATAACCGCCAAAGGACCTTGAGTAAGACATTGAGGGACACGCGGGCTCGCTAATCTCGGGCGATAGGTCGTCTTCGAGTTGGGCGCGTCAGTATTGAATTGGACCCGTCTTCCTGGTCGGAGTGCTGCACATCAATCCTAATTATTAAGAAATCGGTGACAGACCACACAAACGATACGCCGCAACTATTCATTAGACTTTATCAAGCTATTGTTTATCTTTAGGTTTGGTGTGCTCATTTCATTTTTAAGAACAGCAAACACCAGAATATTTTTATTCATAACTAAGTTTCATAGACCGAGAGATCCTAGGGTAGAATCCCAGCGATGGCAGATTTCTTACGCTAAATTAGTTGCTTGGTTTGATGATGACACTGGCTGAGTATCCTGTTGCCCTGATGATTCGTTTCCTCCTACCAATCCCATTCGGATGTGTGTAACAGGACACGGACGCATTGGGTCCTTTATTCTCATCCTGAGCCTTCGCACTTTATAAAGCTTTCATCCTGTCCCTCTCCTACTCTGTAACCTTCCCATCCTGTTTCTTTCCTAATCTGTTTCCCTCCCTTATTTCTCTTCGAACTTATTCACCTCTTGTCCTGTCCCATTCCATCATGTCCCACATACATTCTGTTCCCCTCCCTTCTATTCTCATTTCCTTCCTCAGAGCAGGGATATAACATCGATCTTGATGTTTTTAAAACACCTAAGTTTTTATAAAATCATTGATGAACATAACATCAAATCTTTACGACGATGATTTTATGTGGCTGATATTTTATTTTTGAATAATAACGTACCATAATAATAAAAAGCTGTAATTATTTTCAGATGTCCAGAAATAGAACATTTTTCAGTCCAAAGTGTCAAAGAAATAAAAATAATTGGAATCGAGTTTTTGTAGATAAATGAAGTATATAGATTTTTTTAAATTATCCAATTAAAGAATAAAAAATTGTGAATTGCCCTGATATTTTTTATCTTTGATTTATCAGTTCTTAGCCTAACTAAAAATTAACGACTATATTAAATTTACCCCTGCCCCTCCGCGTTAACAGTAATGTCTACTAACGCAGTTTTAATTTTTTTTTATTTATTTTCATTTAGATAGGACAATACAAAGATCAGTGTTAAATAATCTCTACTTTTGTTATAATTTCTTATTTATATTTATAAATAACTTAAAATAATCTTACTAATAATCTTAAACACACCTTACATTACTACTTTGGTGGTAGAGGTATCTTTATTTAATATCTCTACTTTGGTTCGAGGTCTGAGAATTTATTTAGGAATATATGAAAGGAAAAGTATTATTGATGCGGGTTCTGTGTATTGGAATTTGGCCGAACCTTAGCGGGGTTAGGTTGGGTATATTTGGGATGTTCTGGAAGAAGTGGGTGGATACAAAAATTTTTATGGTTTGTAATTGGTTCTAACTGGAATTCTTTATAGAGTTGAGAATTGGAGAA